CCTTATTTTGTTAACCGAATCATGCGAATTCGAAGCTTGCCTCAAAATAGCCCGCTTATCTGCATAGCTGAGGACGCTTTTTACACGGCCTTTCATATTTTTTCCATAGTTAAGATCATTTTGAATGAAATTGTATATCACTTTTCTGCTTCTTCCGATTTTTTTTGATATTTGAGTTACAGACAGGTCAGAATCAATGAAGCTTTTTATTTTGACCTGTTCTTCGTTGGTTAAAACATTACCACGACCCATTATTAATTTAAATCGTCACACTGTATTTAAAACTCACAAATAAATAAAAAAAAACTTAATATTGTGGTGAGCTGCTACTCATAAATGAAATCGGAAACCAAATGTGCTATTCAAGTGAAACGAAATACATACTAGTTATTGATGCAAATTCAAAAGAAAATAACGGGAAAATTTAACGGTACATTTCTGCAGTACTAATTTTTTTGGGAGGAGACTACATAAGGAAACAAACAAAAAAACCCAACAATTATTACAACAAAGTCATGAGATCATTGATAGATAAGCAAATAATAATGCAAAAACGAAGTGTGCTATTCAAGTGAAACGGAGTGTACGTTAAATAAAAATTTTAGCTTCGAAGAATAGGGATCCTTTTTAAGATTGTATCTGAATTCTGGAAAATGAGTATTATATATTTTATGTTAATTACAAATTTTTTATTTTTTATTCTTATTTAAAAATCTGTCTGTCCCTACAGCTGGAAGGTCAAAAAAGATTTGGTACGTTTTCTTGCAAAACTTATCGAGGTGATAATATCAACATTAGGTATAGTCATTACAATAACGGCAAAAGGGGTCAGTGACGACGACCCAGCGTCTACAGAGCTGACGTTAAAAAGTTTGATTTATTAATTTTGAAATTTAACTATAGTTAATTAGGAAAAAACAATGTTTTATTATATATGTATATATATGTATACATAATATATAATTTAATGTGATCGTATATGAATAATAATACATGTAGTGGAAAAAAAAATTCGTTGAATTGATATAAAGGAGCCGGACTGGTTGGGACTATTATTCGTGTTACATAACGTGAAAAGTTGACTTTTGTTTCTGTTTCTAATCTCATTTAAATATAATTACAATTATTAAAATAACAAAGCACATTATAGCAAAATCAAAATGAAATAAATACTTCAATAAAACCATATTTAAAAAAAAACATAGAGCGTAAAACATTGAAAATAGGGGAGAGCCAAATATTTCCAGGTTTGTGAAGTTCATTATATTTGTAAACTTACTAAAAATTTTATAATTTAATAACAGAAATAGTCTTACTATTTTACGCTTCAAACGATATGAAAAATAAATTAATAAATTTTTTTACATGTGTAAATATATATTGATTATATAGAATCTTATATCTTTACAATTAATTGAGCAAAAACTCGAGATTAATAGTTTCTTAGAGACATGATGATCTAGTTCTATTTTAAAAAAGATATCAACGATTTTTTTGCCGCCGAGTTGCCACTCAAGTTAGCCATCTCGTTCCTCGAGATAGCTGTACATATAACCCGCACTCCATACAATCTGAAAATATTTGCTATGTGAGAGAAACTGTTTCCAAATTAGACCTAGTGTTGCCAGGTTTAGTAATGGCATCGATAATCAATTTACTGACTATGCAATAGTGGTTATTAATTTTTAAAGAGTGTTCAATCTCTTTTAGTACAACATAAGCGCCGATTGTATAGATAGATTAAAAATTATATAGGTGTCCAACACGAACACACTTGACACTCCTAGTTTAAGAGGCTGCAGTTTAAATGAATCGAATATTTATACAAGATGTTTAAAAGATGGGTATGTATCTGAGGCTTGACGGGAAGTTGGGGGGGGGGGTTCATTCCGAAAGCGAAGAAACTCCACCGCGAACGATTGCAGGCCAATTAGTCTCTCCTCGTTTATTTTGAACACATTGGAGACACTTATCAACTTGTATATTAGTGGAAAGACCAGCATCTCTACAATGGATATAGCTCAATACACATATCGTAAAGGTATGTCGGAGGAAAATGCTCTCCACGAAATGGTTGACACTATTAAAAGATCAGTCGAACTAAAGAGCACACCTTGGCAAGCTTCTTTAACATCGAGTGAGCTTTCAATAACGTGAACTCGAATGCTATCCAAGAGGTGCTAAGAAAGAATGGAGTCGAGCTACTCTTAAAAATCTGGATGGGCACAATAATTGAAAGCAGAGTGGTGACCAGGACTACTAGAACACTCGACAGGGAGGAGTGCTATCGTCCCTTCTCTAGCTCTTGATAGTCGACGAAATTCTACGAGGTTTTCAGGGCTAAGAGAACAAAGGCTTTGGGAAGTAATGGGATTTGTCACCGTACGTGGATTATGGAATGTATATGACGATCATCAGGCTCATCATCACCTATGAGTCCCTCGTCTGATGGCAGTCGTTGGACAAAAAATGTAGTTTGGCCCGCATTGGAAAAATACAGAAATTGACTTGCTTGGGTATCTCCGGTGCAATCAATAGTACGCCTCAAGAAGGCTTAAATATAAGATTGCATCTCCTACCACTATGGGTGTTTATTCAAGACTGTGCTGCTAAAAGTGCTTTCAGGCTCCGAGAATTTAAGATGTAGAAACCAGCTAATTATGGACACCGTATTATTCTGGAGATCAAAAGAAGAGGTCTGAAGGGTTTAGTCAAGACGAATCTAGATTCTGCTACAGACTACATGACACCAACATCGACCTCAGAATTCCTACTTTCTATCCAACCAGAGATAGCTGGGAACTTGGATCTGTGACAGGTAACTTTAGAGTTACCATCTACACAGATGGCTCAAAGATGGAGAGTGATACGGGAGTAGGAATCTTCTCGAAAGATATACACATAAGGCAGTCCTACCGACTCCCTGATACTTGCAGCGTTTTTCAGGCCGAAAGAAAAAACGGCCAATCTTATACAACTAAGCACAATTTGTCCTTCTCACAAATTTTATAGATAGTTAGTTCACACTGAGAGCTATTAAATCCAAAACGGTTAAATCCTATAATATCAGTACTTCTATTAGTTTCCTTACTTTAATATGGTCTATTTCATCATGCTACATTTCCATACTTTTGGCATTCGTTTCAATTGGCATACTATTTTGTGTATAATACTCTCTCTTTAAGGTTCTAAGCATTTAACCTATAAAGTTCGGTTATAATATCTGTGGTATCTTTACTCGAACGAAATCTTAAACGCTTTAAACTTCAAAATGACAGCTTCTTCCATATTGGGAAGAGTTTAATACATTGCGGATCATCGCCTATCTTAAAGTTCAAGAGAATTATTCTTAAGATTGTTACATTTGTATGGTTTCAGTAAGAAATATGCGGTATTTTCCTTTTCCGATATGTATCAAGTCTGGAATTAAAACTGTTATTGTTCATTTCATTTTATTCTAATTGTTTTTGTTAAGATTTGTTGCTCTGTCTGCTTGAATATTATATTTCTTTCTGAGCTTCCGATTACTAAATATGGGTTGTTTGCTTTATCCATATCTGATGGTAACGGTCTCGAGTCAACACTATTCAGGTATTTAATGTATTTATGTCACTAGAAATAAACCCATTATATTTTGTGAAATTATTATTCTTTTATCTAATTAGACTTTGTCGTAAAAAGCACTAATTAATATAAAGAGCAGAGACTCTGATAGAATTGATATATATATTGTTCAAATCTTTCTGATGCGTATTCCATATATTTTAAATAAATGGATCACACATTTAACATATAATATATATACATAAGTATAACAGCCTATTTAGTATTATTGTAATTATACTCTTTTATGCAATATAAATAAATGATTATAGGCCACTCCACTTTGTTAACTGCAGGTGTAAAAACTTGTTTAAGTCTTTCTTTATATCAACATCAGCATTACAGCTCGGAATGAGCTTTAACTGCATGAAACAGCTTCTTCCATTCTGCTTTGCATGTTGTTTTAAACCTCCAATTTTGGATACCCATATCTCTGATCACATTGTCGAGCCTTCTATTACGTAGTCTACCTATCTTTTTCTACTATGTTGAGGCTAGTTGAGTTGAGTCAGTGCACCTGAGCACTTCTACTCTCTATTAACTGCGAGGTTTCTACAAAACCCCTCTTTGCGCCTTGACTGGATTTTTGACCTCAGATCTGCATATCTCCCCAAGAAGCCTGTAACCATTCTGAGATTTGATAACACTAAAATTATATTAGACCTTATATGACATATCTCATAATCTTTACTTATATGAAGAAATGTATTCTTCTATAGACATTTACGCATATGTATGTATAAACGTAAAGAACTTCAACATTATGACTTTCTGTAATTGTTAACTGGTCGAATTTTTCGGCAACTCTTTCCACCCAATACTTTCGATTGAAAACAATTTAATAAATTAATAATACAAAATATATTTAGATGAACTAATAATAAGTTTAAAAAAAACCAGAAAACTACATAAAGTATTGACTGTAGTTCAGATTATACCAGCTATGCTAATAATCCACTTAGGCCTATTGGGCCATTGTGTTACTGTATAAACGCTTACAAGTAAAAAAAAATCAACTTCAAACTCTATCAAAGCTTAAAATCCACTTTAAAGGAAGCCCTAGAGCTGGTCAAAATCCTCAAAAAAGTTTGCATCGATGCCGCTTATACACTGAACAGTAATAAAGCAGATGTAAGACATATTCATCGTCCTCCCCACAATTGCAACAGGAATGATTAAACGGAAGATTCAATGTTCTCGCATGGTTCCATTAACGGCTGTGATCCGAAAATGAATATACCATGAAAATGATACCTTAACAGGACATCTCAAACAGAGTGCTGCATTTTTTCTTAATATAACGCGGCTAACTTTTACACAGATGCCTGCATATCGTTGAGTCTTCCCACATTGTATTAAATTGCTGCATATAAAAGAATTTTAACAGTTGCGTGTGCTGTAAAAACATTTTTTATTATATCGGTTTATGGTTTATGGTACAACAATTATAAATGAATTCAAAAAACATAAAATTTGTATTAACAACAAAACAATAGAGTTGCATTTTTGTTTGCAAACTCAAACTAACTATACATTCAAAAACAAATAGCTTCACAGCCAGAAGAGCACCATTACCTTTCGCGCAGGAACGGAAAGATCTTTTGCAATTCAGCTTTTGTTTTGCAAGCTTCAACTTGCGGCAGCGTTTCAACTAAATTAAGTAAATAAATCTGCAATTGTTGCCTTCTTTCCTCAACAAAAACAAGATTTTTATTGCCGAAATGTTTTTTTGGTGGAAACTCAACAGCGCGCACTGACGGATGAGTACAAAGCAAGGACTTGTGTAGCTTGTCAAAATCTCTATAACGACGCCACATAGACCAGTGTTCACACGGTCGACGCATTGTTATATGTACATCGTAAGCATAATATGATGAGCCATGTTTAGATTTAAATAATTTTGCTTGGGGAATGGTTATGAGAAAATTACTAGCTAACGAGGATGACGGATCAATACCGGATTCTTTAAATTGTTGTGTAAGGCGTCGTGTAAGATGACGATTTTCGAGACTTAACTTAGCTACACGAGTTTCAAGTAAAAAGCAACGTTCACTCATTTCGCGTAATTTTTCTTCCAATGCAAGCTGGTTGGCATCACAATTGGCTGACGATGATTTACTATATTCTGACGAAGTATCACTTTTATCCTCAATCTCATGTTCATGATCTGGTGTCAATGGTTGTTTTAAGAATTCGAGATAGGGTTCAATATTGTCTGCAGGCGGCGTTGGAATTTCATCAACATCGGGTACGAAATCGTTATGGATTTCAATTTGTAAAACAGCTGTATCAACAGCTTTTAGTAAGTCTTCTGTCGAATTTGCAGCTACAATCGGTCGTTCAACTACATTAGTTTTACGTTTTGTGTTTGTAATAGGCACTGGTGTGGGAGCATGTATAACAGGTTCTTTTCTAACTATTGTCGTAGTTGTAGTACGTGTAGGAGCATTCAATTCAGTCGTATCAATTCTTATTGCAAATAAAATTGTATTAAGGCTGTTTATCATTTTGGGTAGTTCCTTGCTAGCATCTTCATCAAGTAGCAGCGACCAAGGTGAATAATACCGTTGAAGAAATTCAGAATCGCTTAACCAAGTAAGCAAATACCTTTCCAAAGAGTTTTCATTTAAAGTGGCACGTATAAAAGCTCTACCGCGTCCACATTTTGTCGAAATATTTGTTAAATTTATATAGCGCTCCCGTTCGTGAGCAGTTAAGTACTCTTGACAAAAATCCCAAAAGCTTACATCATTTGAGGAAGAACATATACCTAGCAACAATTAATTGTACAATTAATTATAAACATTATGTGCATATATATATAAGTTACCTTACCTGTAACGATTTCGTGCATATTTTGCAAAAGAGCTGTGGCTGAGGCAACAGCCGATGATTGTTGCTGTTTCAAGCCGTAATTAAAGGCATCTTCCAAAGCATTGCACAAATTCGCAACGGACTGATTGCTTTCGCTTGCTAGCTCCTTACGATTTGCATAGTTATCACTGCATATTTTAATACTTTCCTGTAGATTTCTGTAAATTTCCTCGCGACGTTGATTAAACGTACTGCCACTCAGTGTCGTTTTTGGCGGAGTACTTGTAGACCGCTCAGGCTTTTGGCTAAATAAAGTTTCAGGCATATTATTAAAAATTTAGAATTATGGGAGTATACCAAAACATGTACACTCCTCTTGAGTATTTTATGTTATTAATTTTCTAAGCCTAACTCAGTGACTTCATCTTTTAGCAAGAAATTGCGTGTTTATATTATGCATTTGACTTCCGTAATTTGGTCTTCTTGATTTTACTGTTTGTTATGTTGCTTTTTGTTTGTTCTAATATAAAAATTAATATATGTTATTTAAAAGTCTATAGTTACTGAGATGTTTTATTTATTTACAAATATAAAGTTTTTTATTTTTTTTGTAATTTCTCACTTTCAACGCAACTCTTTGCAATCACAACAGTGTTGCCCTTCGGCGAAATAGTAGTAGAAGTATTTCGTGCATATGACTCATTCGTCATTACACAAAGCATTGAAGCAAAGCAGATCGCATTACAGCCAAAAAAAGCTTATAAACAATTTAATTACAAGAACAATAAAACAATAACATTCAAAATAGCATTTCAGTTAAATATAATTTAAATAATTAATTAATTAAGCAATCGTTATGGTTCTTCTTTAAGTTCTTTTAAGGCCGTGTGCGAGTTCGAGTAAATTGATGGTAAATTGAGAGAAATAGTAAATTATGTAAATTTACCAGAATTTCAAGTAGGGTAAATTAGATATAAATTAAATAAATTAAGTGTAACCATTGTGAAAATTTTATAAGTTGTTTAATAAATAAATAAATAAATTTGAAAACTTTTAACCAAAAATAATAAATAAATGTACTAAATAAATCCCTAGATTTTTTTAATTTACTTTACCTCAATGTACTCGAATTCGCACAAGGTCTAAGGAAAGAATTTTAATTTATAATAATTCAAATTAAAATAGTCAGCTTTTTTAGATAAAAGTTGTATTTAAGGTACTTACGATACTTATACATGAGTTTTATATAAAATAGTTTAAGAAGTTACTTAAAAATATAAAAAATATAACAGTTCTAAAGCTGAAAAAACTATTGCAAATGAGCTGTTTTATATAATTTATTGGTAATTTAACTCTTCTAGTTTTTTTTTTTTTTGGAAATATCAGCAGACAATAGAATAAGCCAAATAGAAGCCAAAGTAATGTTGTTTATTTTAATAATTTTATTTAATCAATTGTTACAATAAACAACATTTTTATTTTTCTTCTCTTACATTTCTTGTGCACAAAATGTGATCGAGCTAGCAAAACAGCTGATTGAAACCATGTTATAATTTTGAGTTACTTAAATTATAATATGTATAATATAAAAACTAAAATTATATTATCTGTAATATAAAACCACTTCTAATAATTAAAGAACGAACATGTGTTTTTCTAGAAAAACATATGTTAATATACTATACGTTTACTCACGTCTATTATCATAATTATAATTATTATTATTATTATTATTATATTACAAATATTAAAAACGAACTCGAACTACGGTAAAATTATAAAATTTATAATAAAAAAAGAAATGAACTGTTTTTCAGTCATTTAGAATAACTACAGAGCATATGTTTTCATTAAAAAAAGCAATGTTTACACACCAACTGTTGACTCGCACGTATTATAATAATAATAGTATTGATTTAAATTAGAAGTATTTAAAACAAACTTGATACACACAATAATAATAAACAAAACTTATAATAACAGAAAATTAATGATCTGCTTTCAAGCGGTATATATAAATATACATATGTATATGAAAATGTGTAAAACTTTCATTTTTTTAAATTAGGGATATACTTAGCGCAGTTTATGACAAATTCAAATGGATGCTGTTTATGGACCGATTACTTCGACACTCTACAAGCAACATTTATTCATGGGTCATTGCTTGAGCCAGTTTGATCTAATATAACCTAAGGCAAGAATGAAACCTACTCCTCATCCCCTTCATCAATTCATTCCCATGCTTTCTGGTTTAGATAAACGTAGCCTGCTAGGTATTAAGCCACTTACCACAATCTCTCTCCCTTTATGACTGGAATGAAGTTTCCACAATGCTATGGAAATTTTCTTAATTCATTTTTAAGAGGCTGTTTCTTTCGATAATTTCCAATTACTGCAATAAGTTCAAATATATAAATAAGTTAATTAATTTAAATGTATAAGATAAGATTGCCCTTTTAATATTCATTTTGTTTTCTTTTATTTAAATTAATTAATTTTTTGTGTTTACAATTTTTATATTTCAAATTGTACACAACAAAAGCATTTAACATATTTTAAAAGTGATGCCAATATGTTTCAACTAGTCTTAATGCTGTTTTTTTATAACTCTGAAAGAAAAAATTACGGCTATTGTAGAAATTTTTTTATATGGAGGTTTATGTCTATTTTTCGTGCAAAATCAATTTTAATACTAGGTTTCAAATGGCACTTGCATTTATGCTTGATCAGCATTTATATCGATTCGCGTGGGATTCCCTTGCTTAAGTTTAAAATAAATTTTATTGTACAAAAAAAAAATGTCAAATAATTCCTAAGCAATAGAATTTTTAAACAAACTGAAATTTGTTGTAAACAAAATTTATTGTTAACTTTTTATTTTGTATTTTAACTTATTTGTAAATAAGCAACAATTTGTTGTTTACCTATTATTGCGATATAATGTGCTATTTTTATATGTGTAAGCATTTGCTATATTGGATATTTGCCCATAATACGATTTTAAGTACAATATTCGTCTTACCATTACACAAAACGCAAATAGTGCACATTTATATTACTCGACCCAAACACAAACACAAACACAAGCACACTGGCACACGCATTCGGAGTACGTACTACGAAAGTAAAAACAACAAAATGAAACGTCATTAATCGTAAGATAAAAAATTGTGTAGCGAAAAATGAGAAAGAGCAAAACTATAAAAATAACAATAACAACCACAATAGCAATGAAAACAACAGCAAAATTTTACTTGTACAATAAACATTTGCAAATTTTATTCAGTAAACGAAATTCGAAGTGATAAGTTCGGTGGGGTTAAATAAAGAAAATTATAATATTTTCAATTTAAAATACATTTAAAGAAATTGCTATAATTTAATAATTGTTCCTATAAATTAAAAATAAGTAAATCACAAAAATATGCATATATGTACGTGCATGAAAAATAATTTAATCTAGTTGGCGCTAACAAAGTGAATAAAAATTAATTAAAATAATTATTACACAAAGTTACATATATATACACTACAGTTAATCCAAATTAAATGAAATTTGGTTTCAAAATTTGGCAAGCCAAATTTTTGTATTTGTAAAGTTGTTAGTCATTTTCGCAACAAAAACAAAAACAAAATTTAAAAACAATAAACAGCTGAACCTCACCAGACGTTGATGCGTTTGCTCAACGTACGGCGTGTGTGTGTATTTTCGAAATTCTACAGCAAACATGAATAAAATGAATACCTTAAAAACCTACGTTACACGTCATCCATACATTGCTACCAGTAGTATTGGACTTATAACAACGTAAGTAGCCCTTAAAATGTCCAAATTATATGCATTGTTAAAGCATACAAAAATTTAGTTCCAATAAGAAGCACCGTGTATAGGTTGCTTATAAGATTGCATACAATGGGAAAAAATCATTATTATTATTTATATATATGGTTATTATATATATTATTATTATATTATTATTATATATATTTATATATATATATATAAGAGTTCACAAAATAATCTTAATTTAATCTCTTATTTACTCACATATAAATGTGTTCTTCAGATCTCCACCTCGGGTAACTTAGAATGTCTTGAAACTCTAGATTCCTGATGTACTATGCTAGATTTAATTTAATCTTATAAACTAAGATATGTCTAAACAAATCAAGAAAGAAATTGTGAATATAATTTAACATTCCGTTATAATATAAAACCTAACCTACTTAGTTAAAAAAAACACTATAAGAAGATTTCGGTATCTTAGAATGCCATAAATTTATGCATTTTAAATCCCTTATATACCATAACTTTTTTTCTCTCATGTACTTATTATCTATTCAGCTTAACAACAAATATATTTTAATAATATTTTCCAGATTCCTACAAACCCCAGTCTAGGTTATTAAAAACAAATGTTAATACCAGTTTCCACTGCTTACTTAGTAAGTTACTTAAAAATTTTAAGATTTTGTTGCTTCCATTGTCAATGTCAATTAGTAAACCTTTTAGAACAACTTAGGTAATGTGGAATGCTTTAAATTTTTGAATTTTAAATTCACAATATAACTTATATTGCATTCTATGTATATATTGTATTATATTATATTTACTCTCATTTACTTGGTATCTATCAAACAAAACAATAAAGAAATTCTAATTGTCTACTTTAACTCTAATCGTTAATATGAAGTCTCGACTTATTAATTTAGCTTTTAAGTTAAATTATTTTATGCAAAATTTAAAAGTATAAATTTTTAGTTCTTCACATTAATTTATTCTCGATATCTCTCAGTAATTGACAAAAAAATTCTTACTTCACTGCTTAGTTCCTTTTATAATATATAACCTCACTTAATTACTTAAAAAAACTTTAAAATCGTTTCTAACGACTTTGCTTTACTTAGAACGATTTAAATTTCTATATTTTATATTTAAAAAAAAACTTTGTCTTTAATTAGGTATTTTCATATAAGCGTTACTTTTCTAACTCATTCACAAAAAGATTCTAATTGTGCTCTATAAATCCCATCATAGTATAAAACCTAGTTTATTTAATTTGTTATAGTAAATTTCAGTAAAAAAATTAACACTTATAGGTTTTTTAATTATTGAAAAGAATTCTAACTAACTTTTCTATTTTTTAATTATTATTGCTATTTTTAATTAGATTTTTTATTTTTTAATTAGCTTCTTTATTTCGTGATTATTAAAATGATTTTTATTTAACTTTTTTTTTAATTATCAAAATAATTTTTAGTTAACTTTTTTATTTTTTAATTATTAAAATAATTTTAAATTTGGTTTTTTTTATTTATATATTTATTTTTTTATTAAAATAATTTTTATTCGAGTTTTTAATTAACTTTTTAATCACCTTTTTAGTTTTTTAATTATTAAAGTAATTTCTAATAAACTTTTATTTTTTAATTATAAAAATAGCTTTTATTCAAGTTTTTTATTTTTTATATATTAAAATAATTTTTATTTAACTTTTTTATTTTTTATTTATTAAAATAATTTTTTATTTTTTTTATTTTTTAATAATTAAAAAAATTTTTATATAACTTTTTTTTTAATTATTAAAATAATGTATTTCTTAATTATTAATAATAATTAATATATATTAATTATTAATAATTATTATTATTAATTTTTATTTCATTTTATTTTTAATTATCACAATAATTTTTAATTATATTTTTTATTTTTTATTTATTAAAGTAATTTCTAATTAACTTTTCTATTTTTTAATTATTGAAATAATTTTTATTCAAGTTTTTTTATTATTTATTATTATTATTATTATTTATTTATTTATTATTTTATTATTATTATTAAAATAATTTTTATTTAACTTTAGTTTTTAATTATCAAAATAATGTTTATTTAACTTTTTATTTTTTAATTATTAAAATACATAATTTTGATTTAATTTTATTTTTTAATTATCAAAATATATTTTTTTATTTTTTAATTATTTTTAATAAATTTTTTTTATTTATATAATTATTTTTTCCGAGATTTTAATTTTTTAATTATTAAAATAATTTTTATTTATCAAAATAGTTTTGATTTAACTTTTTAATGTTTCCAACCTTTTAATTTCCAATTAATTTTTTTATTACAATTCAATTTATCCAATAAGAACAGATATTAGAATTCAAAGAAATGCAACAGGTCTTGTAAGATTAGAAGAAAAGTACAATTGTACGTACAAATATTCTGGGGGCTCGTCTGTTTACATTAATTATGTACACTGTAAAGCAATCGTTCATCAGTGTGTTAGTGCAAAATGTAATCTATACATTTTTATAACCATACATACTTTTACATACGTTACATACATACACACATATACACAAATTTGTTTTTCATTTTCTATTCTTAGTGTTTACGCATTCTATATGCGCAGTTAAATAGTTTCCGCATACTTTTTTTTTATTGATAAACCAGAAATGTGCTACTTAAAATAAAAAAAAAAAACATTTCTATTCAAGGTTAATGTAGTGCAAAATAAAAAAAAAATATATACACACATATATGAATTAAAAATTAATATGTTTAATTTTTTGATTGCGATCTTCAGAAAAGCACATATCGTATGAGTGAAAAGAAGCAATCATCACAGCGAAAGCAGCGACACACCCCCCAAAAAGCCGGTTTAATACATTACACAAACACACACACGTACACAATTTACGCCGATCGTATGTTATTTAACTGATGACGACGTTGACGTTGACGTCGACGTCTGTTGTTTACAATTTACACTTGAACCACACACAAGGCATTGCATTTCGTAGTTTGTTTTCTTACTTAAGCGAAAATAAACATAAACAATCTTTTTATATTGTAAACAATAACAAAATTTTATATATAATTTTGTTTACAAGATTTCAAGTATTTATTTATATGCATTTCTTCAGACGTAAAACGGATATCACTACAGACATTTGAAATAGATTTGAGAAATTTGCAACAACAAGGAATTTGTTTGAATTTAGTCAAGGACTACATAAGTACCTATGTATGTATTTACCCCGGGGTATTTGTGTATATCAGGTGCCAAAATGACCTAGTCTGCGCTACAAAATGACTCAAAAAAAGACAAGAGCATTAACCTTATTATTGACTTTATTTACAAACATATAAAATTAAAATAGAATTTAACCTTATAAAAGAAAAAGTTTTTCTCTCACAATTCGAAAAAAAATTAGACCTATCAATTATTTGAATCATACTTGCTTAATCTAATATTAATTCATTATGAGTAATGTTAAACAAATTAACACGTACATACATACACATATCCATTACACATAGAAAAAAATTTATTAACAATTAACACAAGATTTAATAATAGTTTATGATCAACTACAAATCAAAAACAAAAACAAAAAAACCAAAACAAAACTAAAAATGTGCACAGGAAAACAACAAATACAACTTACATAAAGCCACGCGAAACTAAAAGCATTGATCATAACAACACAACAATAACAATGCCAAAAACAATAACAAAAACTATCGCACTCTGTGTACACCGAAAAAGAAATGATCAAAACAAAACATACGATTTTGCCTGAGCGAGAAAGCAAATTAAAAAAAAAAAGGAGTGCCAAAAATGTTGTGATCCACATTGCGTATTGCTGGCCTTCTACAGAAGGTGTATTTGCCTTGCGGTCTTCTTTGTTTGGATTTGCATATTAACGCTTCTTTTTTGTGAAGGCTTAAAAAACGTTTATTAATGTTTCACTTTAAACGTACGCATTTACAGGGTGTCTCTGATGGTTCTACATATAAACGTATATAATTTAAATGTTTTTTTTTTTAAAGAGGTTTTTCGAAAAGCACTGAACTACAACAACAAAAATTCTTTTTATATTATTTTCATTAAAAATAAAGAAGAAAATTAAAAATCATTTTATTATTTTCTAAACAAAGCTAACGTAAGCTCAATTATATATATTCCTCAGAGTAGGTTGTTGACCTTACCGAACTACATATGAAATTAAAAGCTAAAGTTAGTTTGTTTTACGAGAACGGACTGCTGAACTAGTTCAATCCAAGAAAATTTAGTATGACACTTATATGTACATATATATATTTATTATTAATATTTTTTTAAAAATATAAGTTTATTGCAAACACCATGTATTCATACACGTGCCAGTAAATATGTCATTAAGTTTTTATTAATAAATTCCTAAAAATACCGGATTGCCCTAAATATTCAAAACAACAACATTGTAAAAAGATTATATGAATTATTTATTTAATCATTGATTAACTGATAACTATTATATTTTTAATGCTTGAGTACTACAAATATTGAAGAAAGTGAAATACCACTTTGGAGGTCAATGAATATCATAGGGGTATAGGTTTTACTGATTTCTAGTGAATGAATTTTGTGATTATAATTTCGAGATATACGTTATCATTAATATATATAAAGTTTAGTCTTACTCAAATTGTAGTCGATTTTGATAGTTCTGCGTATTTTCTAATTTTTTAATTGAGTGACACACTTAAAACCAAGTACATAATTTTACAAATCCATCTTCTTAAATGGTATACTTACATATATAGTATAATCTAAATGCTATTTAATTTTAATCATACATAAACGTGTAGAATCTATAAAAGAATTCTAAGTAATTATAAATTTTAATAGTAACCGATCTTATATCAAATACTATATTTGCACTTGCAATTAATTAACAAATCTCCTAAGCATGAATTTTTGTATGAAAAATGGATATTATTGATGCATATTTATCAAGTTAATTGCGATAGTGTGAACGCAGGCTTATACTGGATACACACGAGAGTTTTGCTGGTAATTTTAGCTGTCAAAAATTTTCATTTTGCATTGAAAGCAACAACAACTGACTCTCGTGTGAATCTAGTATTAATAGGAGTAGTAATATGATATGTAGACAATATGTATGAATATATCTACATATATTAATTATAAATAATAATTTATAATATCTTTTTGTAATTTTAGTTGTGGCTTGATTTTGTATGAAAAACATAGAATACATCAATTTTTAAAGAAGTACACGAGATCAGCAAACCAGGAAAATACAAAAAAACGACCAGATTATATATACATTAAATATCACATTTACAAAGAGTCTATGCGTAAAATGAAACAAAAAGAAGAAGAAGACAAGGTATATGCTTTTTATATATTATTAAAATGGAATATATTCATTAATATTATAATATCTTCTTTGATAGAAATGGGTCAACGTTATCATAAATCCCATTGGCAAATGGTGGAAATCGGCCAAACATTCGGTCGCTTGGCGTTTATTGAATATAGCACAAACTGGTACTCGACATGAACGTCTTAAAGCGGTTCGACAATTGGCACGTATCGATCATTTAAAAGACTGGGATTTTCGACATTTAGCACAGATATGTGATGCCCGCACAGCCATTTCATTAGCACGTTCCGGTGCTGATAAACGTTGGTTCCTACCGGTACATATGGATGGTTGCATTAAAAATCCAAAGATCCTGCTATCCGATTGGCATGGTTTACTTTCAACTTTACTTAAAAATTCCTGTGTTCATCATTTCTTTAACAAATATTTTCCAGATCAAAGTTTGCAAGTAAGTTTGCATTCACGTATGAAAACGATGCAATTCAATTCAATCAATTTATTGAATATGTAATTGTAGGACACAATGGATGAATTTTTTCCACAAGATAGTTTAATTCACTTCTCACAAGATGACACCGATTTATTGAAGGAAGTTATAGCGTTTCTACATCATTTGACAAAAGATTTGAAGTCATCACAGCATATAATTGAGAATGGTGGGTTATTGTTGTTAATGGAATTGCGAAAATTATTCCGCCATGATAATGAAACATTATCTACGCTATGCAAGGTTTTAGCAAATATGTCCATGGTGCCCAATATTACAGAGCATTTTTATCAATCTGGTTGGGTAAGTGTGCTCGCACATTGGCAGGAGTGTTCTGATATACGTTTGCAAGTGATTTCCGCTAAAACAATGGCTAATCTGGATTATGATGATCCATATCATACTATATATCCACCTAATGTATATCCCCTCCATCCACGTACGCGTACGCGTGCCAAACCGAAAGCTGATATAGTCTTCATACATGGCTTGTTGGGTGGTGTTTTTATAACATGGCGACAAAAAGATCGTAAACCAACTGAATTGGGTTTATATGGTAAAAATGCATTTTATACTAGCGAAGCAGATGATGTCTTCTTAGTTGGAGAGACACGCAGAACGAATGGCAAAAATAATGGAGAGAATGGAAAAACCAAGAACGCTGCTCCCAAACAAAATGGCAATGGTAAAGTGAATAATCAAACCAACGACATTGCAAAAGTAATGGGAAACGATAGCACTTTTCCGAAACTTGATCATATAAATGGTAAAATATAATAATTTTTTATATTGTTGTTGTTATTTTCTATTATAAAATTTTTTATTAAAAATCTTTAGATCCAATTCTTAAAACTGCCAAAAAACCGCATACTAAAACAGTAAATATAAGCGATACTGCAACAAAAGAGTTCGTTGAGGACTTACAAAATGAGGCTGAATTAGAGTCGGACTGGGAAGTTGTACATCCAGATGTACCGCTCAAGGCTAACGATGGCTGCTGCGGTCCATTTAGTGTTTCCGGCAGTGAATGGCTAAATCAGGATAACCTAGATGATTACACAAATTGTTGGCCAATGGAATGGTTACCTGAAGATTTTCCAAACACTAGGTAAAATATTTGGTTTTATTTACCAACTTTTATATGAAAAGTTGTATAAATAAATATAGAATAGAAAATAGGGATATAGGCGCTTAGTGCAATATTGCGACTTTAATAGTTGTTTTATTCTATATAAACAAGTGTATTAGATCAGTGATGTCTAAGTTACATTAAACAGGATAATCTTTAGGAAAGCATGATAGCAGATCTATCATTCCGTTTCAGCAATTTATCATAATTAGCAAGAGGCCTAGCAAGCGGATTCACATGATTTTCATTATTTGAAACATCTTTCTGTCTTATTCTTTCGAACTCGATTTTAACTATTGGAACTTGGATAAAAATAATTTTTACTATGTTCAACACTTAGTTGTTGTTGTAACCCGCCGGGTACGGTACTTGGTCGTCGTAGATGACGAGTGGCTCCAGGACGTAGAACCGACCATTCTTGGAACCTCCACATTTAGTGCAATCCTCTAACTGTAATTAGAATAATTTTTGAAGAACCACAAAAAAAAATATTTCGAGAAAAAACATAAAACATTTTTCAATATATAAATCCCCTTCCTCGATGCAACGTTCTAAAATTTTTTAAAGCTTCACAACTCCTTTTAATCCAACTGCTTTTACGCTATCTATTACCCAGCCACATCCTAAGCCATGTATTCGTCATTCAATTCCTACATGTATGTTATCTACTTTTAAGTTCTCCAGGAGCTGTTAGAACAACAATAATTTTTTTTTAGAATTGATTTAGTGAATTGAAATTAATATATCCTAGTAGATCTCCCGTCTTGTCAGGGTCATAAATACATAATGAAATCTTAAATGAAATAAATAATTATAATTTATATGAAATATGATTATAATTTTTAATAATAATTTTTATTCCCTCTCTATTTGCAGAATTTTAGGAATCGATTATACGTCTGCTGTTACAGAATGGTCAGCAAATTTTGCCAAATACTGTCCTTGCGAAAAGGGGCAAGGTCAAATCGATATACGTGCAGCCACACTACTCGAACGCATTTCTCAATCTAAAATTGGTCAGGATAGACCTATCATTTGGATTGGTCACTCAATGGGTGGTATACTCACAAAGATTATGTTATTAAAAGCAAAGGACAGCATTGATCCACAAGTGAAACAAATTGCTAAAAATACAAATAGCATAGTATTTCTTGGTACACCACATAGAGGATCTCCAATAGCTAAATGGAAACAGCATATGCAACTTATATTGTCACCATCGATAGAAGTGAAAGAAATGGAGGAAGGTTCACCGAGGCTACTTGAATTGCATTCCCGTTTTATGGATTCTCTTAAAACAAATTTTCAAAATATTAAAATTGTAACAATTGCTGAAGGTCGTCCAACCATGTTAACTACATTTAAATTTCCATTGCGTATTGTAACTGAAGATTCGGCAAATATCAATGTCGGTGATTTCTATATACTTAAAGATGATCATTTAAGTCTATCGAAACCGATATTTCGTCAATCGTTTTTATATCAACGTTTGCTCAAAGTCATTGATGATTCATTAACCGAAAAAGAAACATCAACTTCTGAAGAAATACCAGGTGCAACGATTTACTTGCAATCCGTTAAAAACAATAAAAGGGTCGCACAAAATTCAACACAAACTCCAACTAAAACCACAAAAAGTATTTTTAATTTTTATCCTAAGATATCTTTTAAGTTACCGACACCGTCCGTTGAAACATAATTCATCTGTAGGCACCCCAAATCGTTGGTGCGAAAATGTATATCAAACATTACAACAAAAACAAATTTCATTTAATTTGGCCATCGCATAACTTTTAGTATTTTAGTATTCTATCTCACAAAGATTTTTTGTTCAAATCATTTTATTCACATCCTAATTTAATAACTTATATATATTTTGTACTTATCGCATAATACCTTATACAGGTTGACATATCGAAAGAAATCAAAAAAAAAAATTATATTCTCAAACTTTTCGACAAATTTTTACCATTAAAAAATAAATGATACCATACCAATATTTAAATCATTGCAAATAACTTAAGAGCTTAACTAGAGATTTAAGAAATTTAACTATTTGTATTTTTATATGTATTAATATTATTTATTTTTATAAGTCTTTTTCATTTTATGACTTAACTTTTATATTTTTAAACAAGCCAGCAATTCAGATTTATGTATGTATAATATTAAATGTAATTTAATTGATATATAAATATGTTTGTATTTGTTATTAAGAATATCAGTATAGTTATTGACTTGTGTAAGTACTTAAAGTATAGTAATTTATATAAGTTGATATTGATGTACTTACATGAAACGATGTCAGTAACTGTGTGTGTTCATCTCCCACTAGAAGTGCCTTCGTACAGTTTGTAAGATATTATGATAAAGAAACGAATTGTTCAATTAGTGATTTAAATTCCTTAATTTTTTAAAATCTTAAGTAATACCATTTTTTATGAATAAATTATTTTTATTACTATAAAAATAAGTAAAAAAAAATTACAATAAAATATATTTAATATAATACTTATAAATGAAGTTTTTCATTAACTACTTATAGCGAAATATATTTACATATCTTCAAATCAAATGTAAAAACAGTCCTTTATTATGGCTGCGAAACATGGAAGCATTCAAAACAGATAGACAGGATAGATAGATACAAACAATTTTCAATAAATGCCTACGAAAAATCCTAGAAATATGGTGGTCTAACCATCTATCAAATGCAGAACTTCTTTTGCTCTAAATAAATCAGAAAGCTGCTGTAATCGAAATAAAAATTCGAAAATAAATAGAAATAAATACGTTCCACAACAAGCTTGGATAGGGAACCCACAAGGCAGCAGATGCCCTGGTGCACCGGCTTTGACTTGGAGAAGGACAATTGAAAGAGAAATGACAGAAGCCAACTACACATGGCATTAGATATGCAGGAAAGCACCTAACAGAGTAAAATTTTTTGTTCTCATAAATTATATATACAATAGATATAAAAAAAATTTATTTCTGATTTAATTAAATTTAAAGAAAAGTAATGCTATTTGTTCTATTTGCATTTTCTGCGTTTTTCATACTAACAATACAAAACTAAATATAATTTGTTTATAATTGAAATATAAACAAAAAAAGCTCTCCTAAAACTTACACAGAACTTTCTGACACATAAAAGCTATTTCACATACATAAATCCGATTATGCCAATGGAAACAATCAAACCTTAATTACATTAACATAAACAGTTTTAGCTGCAGTGGAAACATAATATATATCAAGGGAAGTTACACTAGAAAGGAAATTATAGAAATTTGACACATGAAGCAAAATGTAAATAAACTAAAAGCCAATGATTCAAATAAGCTAGAGATGTGAATTTTTAGAATTATAGAAACTTAAGCCTATGGAAATAACCAAATCCTAATTTGATTAATGAGAAGTTGCTCATTTATATTAATAAGTGAACGATCACATTATAATGAGCTCATTTATGTAGCTAATAATACTTTTATAAAGTTTTATAAACTTAATTTAATAATATATCGCACAAACAATTATTTAGATAATTGATATATTATATTAAATCATTTATATTCACTTTAAATAACCAATGAATGCGTATCAATTAATACAAAGATTTTATTATATCAGCTCAGCTGTTGTTTGTTACATTTCACATATAAAATACATAACATATATTTAAAATTTTAATAATTTCCCATGTGCGTAATTTATTTTTAAGTGTTGCATTCGACATTTTTCGCCTTGAATCAGCTGATTTATTGATAATGAGCTCATTTATATGAAAACACTTTGTCTGGTAAATCATCCTCATTAGTGGTTATAATGCGCAAAACCGTCTAAATGAGACAGTGTGAATGCGCTATTAGCTACAGTTCTTTTGGAAACATGATTGAAGAAAACACTGATTGAAGCGATAACAATTTAATGAAGTCACACACGCAATTGCTTGTTGAAATTTTTAATAAATTTGACCTGCTTGAATTAAAATGTTTACATTTATGGCCGTGTGCGAGTTATAGTATATTGATGGTAAATCGAGGGAAATAGTAAATTATGTCGGTATGACAGCGAATGTTGGTATTTACCAGAATTTCGAATACGGTAAATTAGATAAAAATTAAATTAGGTGTTACCATTGTAAAAATTTTATAAGATGTTTAATAAATAAATTTAAATACTTTTGAACAAAATTAATAAATAAGTGCAATAAATAAATAAATGGCAATGCAAAAAATCCCTAGGAAATTTTAATTTACTTTACCTCAATTTACTCCAACTCGCACACGGCCTATACATATGATTTTGATAAGACAACAAAGAACCGGTGTGCACCATGCCTAAAAGACATTTTGACAGTCAAATTTTTTTTTACCACTTTTGTTTAACTTTTTTTGATTAATAAAACCTGCACGAGTCTATTATTTATATTGTTTGTATACAAAGGTCTTTATAAAGAAAAAGAATGAGTCAAAAAAAGATTTTAATATGGAACTATTTTATGGAAATTGATGCAAATTATGCAATGTGTAAGATTTGCAAAAATATATACTCACGTCCAGGTCTTTCACCATTGAGAAGACATCTACTTGTAAAGCATCCTGAGAAGTACGAGGAATATTGTCAACTTAATAAAAATGAGAAACCAAATGGTGTGAAAGAAATAAAGCAGGAGGTTGAAGCAACAAATGCAGACGTCAAAGAAGAAATTAACGTTCCAACCACAGCGGCTACAAATTTCGCAGATGAACAGAGTTTGCAAAAAACGTTAAAAAAATTATTTAAGAATAAGACCAAAAATGATTCGTTAATATGGAATTACTTTAAGGAACTTGATGCCGACTTTGCAATGTGTAACATATGCAAAAATATATATACACGACGTGGTCAAAATACAAACGATTTAAAAAAACATCTGAATTCAACACACCCAGACAAATTTGAAGAGTATACCAAGCAAGAGCTGGAAGGTGACCAATCAGATTCATCCGATTCAACAGAAACTGAAGCAAATCCGGAAAATATAGATTCGAATTCGAAACGTAGTTTAGTGTGGAAATATTTCAAGGAACAAGATAAACGCACTGCGTTTTGTAAAATATGTAATAAAGTACGACGTCGTGGAGGCAATACGTCATCACTGCGGGTACATCTAAAAAGGGTCCATCCCAAACAATATCAAGAATTATGCGAAGAAGAAGGTGAAGATAAATCTGACGATGCAAGTGTAATAAAACCAAAACGATCTAAGAGAACAAAATCTGAAGTTATTTATACTTACGATTCCAGTGAAGAAGAACATATCGAGCCGCATGTTTCCGCTATAAAAGAAAGTGAAACAACTGATCCACTTGTGCCATCCTCACAAGACTTAAGAGACTTTGGTAAAGTTAAGAAAAACTTTCGGTATCTTAAGAAAATAACGTAAAGTAATTTATAGTATAAAAACAACTAAATTAAAATATAGTAATTATGATTAATATATATGTATTATGTACATACAATATGTATACGTTGAGCATGTACTACAACAAGTATTATGTAGGTACCTATGTACAAATACATATATATTTAGATATATAATATATAGAACTGTACATAAATAGAGTATTTCATTATTTAACTAATTTGTATTTAATTATATATAGATTGTGTTTATGACTACATTATTTTGTTTATATTAATTTGTGTGGTACTTCAAAATACTTTTACTTTTGAGTCGAAAACAAGCAAAAACCAATATTAAAAAATACTATATTTGGTATGTAAAATAATATAACATTTTTTATAAATATAATTTCGTAAAATTTGTATAAATTAGTTTTTGTTCTGTTATACTAACGTTAAGTTTAAAACTTTTCTGATAGGAAATAAGTATTATTAAAATGAAAATCATCTCTATAATGTTATTATTCATAGCTCAAATTGCTGATAACAAGTATTATAAGCTATTTAATTGATGTCTTGCTTAAACTTTTGATCTTTTTTTTTGTTAGTTGTATTGATATTTAAAATCAATTTGAAAGTTATATTAACATCAAGTGAAAAGCATATATTATTCTGTAAAATGTAGAACTCACTAAATTTTACAAATATTCTACTAGTATAACATTAGATGCTCAAAAATAATTCAAAGACCTCTAAATCTGTGACTTCATAGATTATATATGGTATTAATTAAATAATTTATGTATTTATATTAATAATTTTTTTTTCAAATAAGAATTTGTTATGTATATTCGTTAATTTGTCTGTCTGTCCGTTAGTTGGTTTTAGACTGTATCGTAATTATCCTAGAAATATTATTTATTTGAAATAATTTATGAAATATAAATTTAAATAACACAAAAGTTGGCGTAAGGAACTTCTTTAATATTATATTAAACTGACTGTTTTTAATTTAATCTAGAGGTCAATAGATTCATAAGGTAGTTGATTAAATGAAATAAAATCTTTTTTTTTTTTGTAGACAGTTTTATTATTCCTTAAAGCTACAATTATACACTGCAATCTTAAGAAACTATTGTGGAAATATCACTGAACAGAGAATGTTAATTTTACCCGCGTAATGATATGGCACGTAAGAGTCGTGGTGGTGATAAACTTTATAATATTTCTTGATTCAGCAATCCAGACCTCATTCCGTTCAATAAAAGCTGTATAGATTTATTGGATATAGCTGAGATATGAGATGAGATATTCGATATAAATATAAAGGTATAGATGAGCTGGTGTTTGACTCTGTATAAACTAAAAGATGAAATATTTTATTAGAATTCTTTATTCTTACATAGAAGATTTCAGGATTTGTTAATTAAAATGTAGTAGACAGTATAAAAATCATCATTATCAAAGAGAACCATGTTCTTATCTATTTATTTGCCAACAGATACCCTATTGATTAACGGCTTCTCACCATTGCCGTGATAAAATTTCCTTTCCTTAAACCGTGCTAAGTTTATATTCCCTTATCTTACTACCTCTTACTA